TAGTCTATAGTCTATAGTCTATAGTCTAGTCTATAGTCTAGTCTATAGTCTAGTCTATAGTCTAGTCTATAGTCTAGTCTATAGTCTAGTCTATAGTCTAGTCTATAGTCTAGTCTATAGTCTAGTCTATAGTCTAGTCTATAGTCTAGTCTATAGTCTAGTCTATAGTCTAGTCTATAGTCTAGTCTATAGTCTAGTCTATAGTCTAGTCTATAGTCTATTTAATAAACGATTTATAAATCAAATTTCGTATGAAAATTTTGTTTTATAAAACTTTTATAAAATAAAATATTGTTTATAACAAGGGGGTTAATATTAAAACATTTCTGTATTCAGTTGTTTATTTGTATAAAACTTTATAATTTATTGATTTGTCATTAAAAATCCCGATAAATCCCCGTAATAAAGACAATCAAAAATGTTAACAAAAGAACACTTGTTAAACCAAAATCTCAGAGCCTTTATATAAAACAAAGCAGAAAGTACCTGTTACAATTAAAATGAAGATAAAAAACGAAAAAGTGACTTCTATATAAAATAAATTTGAAATTAAAAAAATCTAGTTTTAAAATCCGAGAGGACAATTGGAAAATACACAACAAAAATGTAATAAATTAAACAAAGGACTTTAACTAAAACTAGTAAAAATGAGCTGAACTAGAGGGTGTTTAGAGTAAAAGAAAAACCCAATAAGTATTTTTAGAAATCAGGGTGTTTTACGAACAATTAAATAGAAAAAATATTTTAACAAAATTTTACAGGTAAAATAAAATAAACGTGTAATATTAACCTTGGACAGGTAAGAATTTTTCGAAAAATTTAAAACAAATGTCCAAAACGAACAATGTCTATGGTCATTGTTTGTACGAAAAAGAATTTGTTTAAATGCTAACATAGCATCTGATTCTGTTTTGAGTACGAGTATTTTGGAAAATCATATTTAGTGTGTGTTTTTCGGGGGAATGTACGTTAAATGGTTAGGATTTTTTACACACACACACACACACACACACACACACACACACACATGTATGTGAGTTCAAACACTTTACAGCAACATTATTGCGCCGTTAGGTTTTTCTTTATAAAGAAACATTTTCTTTTTTCTCTAAATAAAGGAACCATGTGTTTTCTTATCCTTCAATTATTTACCATACAGGGTTGTTTGTTAGCAAATGTATTGGTATTTGCCAAAGCATATCCTTAAAGATCAATATCATATCTCCTCCATGCTTATTTAGTTAACGTTTTTGTCTTTTAAGGCAAAGGAAACATCATTGTCAGCTGAAGAGTCAAATTGTAATAAAAGCGTTAGGCGTTAGCGTTTTCGTTTTTGTTGAAAATAAAATTTGATAATAAAAAATAATCAAATTGTAACAAGAATATTCCAAAAATATATTCCTGAAACTTCTCTATTTTATAAATATTTTTAAATATTTTACAAAAAATGGACGTGACAGCTTCCTTACAAATTAGTCATAATTTATGAAATAACAGCGATAATGTTAAAGCAACCGATTCGAAATGTTTGAGAAATTAAATCAGTACTTAAAATCATTTGTATATAAGAAAAGGAACAGATCAGTTTAGTGGGCGTGTCATCTTTCATAAAAAGTAAATATTTATTTTGAATATCTGCAGCCCATGCATTATAATTACATTCATAGTAAAATATATTTAGAATTTATTTTAGAATAATCGTTTTTAATTTATATATGCAGTAGGTCAGATCTGTAAAGTGGGCGTGGCTTTTCTCCTATACATAAAACAAAATTAAATTATTTAATATTTGGAGACCATGTGCTATAACTAGTTTCCTAATAAAATATATTATGTATTTTAATGAAAAAATCTAAAAAAATTATAATTTTTTCCGAGATTTTAAATCTAAAATTTTCAAACAAAAAGTGGGCGTGACAACTCATTAATAATTAACTCATAAATTATCGTTTAAATGCGAATTTATTCATGTGAATGTCTAAAAATTGTATAGAAATAATTTCATTATAATCGTTTGTAATTTACTTATGAGGGGATCAAATCAGTAAAGTGGGCGTGGCATCTTTCAAATTAAAAAAATATTTATTATCGAATATCTACGAAATTATTAAAGTAATCGACTCGTAATTCTACAGAAATAATTTCAGCATAATGATAAGTAATTTACATAAGAAAAGAGAAACTTATTAGTTCCGTGGGCGTGGCTACTCTCATATAAATAAAGAAAAACTGAATTATTGAATAACTAAAGCTCATCCGGTATCAATAGTTTTCTAATAAAATGTTTTCAGTATAAAAAAACAAGAAAATTTAGAAATATTTACAGATTTAAAGTCTAAAAACACCATTCATTACTTTTGTCGCCTGTCGCGCCGTCACAATTGTAACTCTTAGGCAACAACTGTTTACGAGTTCAATAAAATCTACAAGGAAGAAGAAAACATTTTGTCACTATTGATTTTAAGGAAAAAAATCAAATAATATATTTGTTATTGTTTTTTGTTCTGCTAGAAACCACAATTCCTTATATTTATTTTGTTTTTGTGTTTTTCCTAAACACCCAATTCTATACCTGGATCTCATAGAAAATCATATGTTCAAATTTCATATGTCAAAAACTATATATTTACTTTGCTATATACCAAGCTGCTATTTTAAAGATATTTCCCAAAAAGAAAAATCTTATTAAAACTCTCAAGTACTGTGTGTGTGACGCAATTTTGAAAATTGAAAGAATTCATTATAAACGCTGTTTGTAAGTAGAAGGAGCATGAAGAGAAATAATCAGCATATGTTTCATTTATTCTAATTATGAATTTTTAATTTATTTTAATGTTTTAGCATCTTTAGGTTTTACAAACAAAATTCATTTTTAGGATTATCTTTAAACAAATGTTGTATTTTTAAGCATTAATAGATAATTGTGTCATATGTATGTAGAAATTAAATGTTTATCTTGAAAATGATTTGTTATTATTTAAAACTTTGTTAAAATAAATATTAAAAATGGATTTCACATTAAACTATGTTAAACCAAAATTTAACTAAAAATTAATTATTTTCAAATTCATAGAAAAACTGAATAAATCAGAATTTCTATGATTATTATTAAAAATTTTTTTAAAACGAGTATTTTTGTGAAAACCCGTTATTTTTATGAAAAACACGAAATTTTTACTAGTATTTTTCTGAAAAATATTTTTTTTATTAAAAACTGGTATTTTTGTGAAAAAAAGGTTTTGTGTAAAATTAAACAGTATTTTTCTGAAACTTTTTTTAAAGATGTGTATAAAATAAAGCAAATAAATAAGTTGAAATGATAAAAAACAGTATTTTTTATTTGTGTAAACCAGTATTTTTGTGAAAAACTGTTATTTTTGTGAAAAAAACAGTATTTAAAAAAAAAACGGTATTTTGTGAAAAAACAGTATTTTTATTAAAAACTGGTTTTAGTAAAAAAAAAAGTATTTTTATTAAAAACTGGTTTTAGTAAAAAAAAGTATTTTTATTAAAAACTGGTTTTAGTAAAAAAAAGTATTTTTATTAAAAACTGGTTTTAGTAAAAAACAGTATATTGTGGAAAACCAGTATTTTTGGAAAAAAATAATATTTTTATAAAAAACCGGTAAATTTGTGAGATAAGAGTTTTGCGCAAAATAAGTATTTGTTAATTAGTACTTCTTTGTAAAAACAGTATTTTTAAAAAATGCTAAAAACTGAATTTTTGTAAAATTATAAAAATGGAAATTATGATTAAAAACCAATATTTTTATGAAAATATGTCAAATATCCGAAATTCTGTTAATTAAAAACCTCTATTTTTATTTTTTCATAAAAGACGGTATTTTTATGAAAACCAGCATATTGCTGAAAATATTTTTTTAACTGTATTTCTTTGACTGAACTTAATATTTTTTTAATTTTATTTAAATAAAAATAAAACCTTAAGTTTTTTACTCCATTCCCTTATAAGGGTTAATAAAATCACCAGAAATCTGGCAACACCCTAAAATATTTTAAAGCAGTAAAGAAAAATTTTCTCACGGTACAAAAACAACAAACCCGACAAACATTTTTACAACTGCATTAACCACCCACCCAATTATAATGAAAAAAGTGCATGCCTGATGGGATATGCATGTTGAAAAAATGCAAAAAAATCGCTATGCCGCAAATTATATTAATTAAACAATAAATTACAGGGAAAACCCTACAGCAATTGATTAACTTTCCAACAAAATAACCCAAAGTTTTTTATCTTTGTAACTTTATCACAAAATTACACAGCCAATAAAGAAAAATGAATGAAAATAATGTAATACGAAAAAAAACTTACCAATTTTACTTGCCGACTGACCCATGTTCACACGGATTTTTTCTTTACTTTTTTTATATAAAACCTATTTTATTTTTTATTTAAAACTTAATAACTAATTTGACACTTTTAGATCATAGCAAACTTTAGCACTTTATTTTGTACAATATATATATTATTTGTATTATATTTCAATTTTTTTAATAACATTTAATATTAATTTGTTTAGCATTTTTTATCTGCTTTTGTTGAAGAAAGCTGAAGTAAATTAAATTACACATGCACGACTTTATTCAAAACACACACAAAAAAACTTGACATTTCTTATAGGAATTTCGTGAGGAGACACAAAGAGACCAAGCAAATTATGAGAATTTTAGTGTGAGGGAGAGTAAAGAAAAAAGTGTTGCCAGATGAAGGATTTTTGCTTAATTTAATCTTGTAGATGTTAAAAAATAAGCAAAAACTTTATATTTTTAAAAGAAATTACTGATTTTCTTTTGTTTAATACAAAAAATGTAAAGATTTGGAGGGATTTTTAAATAAACAATTTAAAATTTACCATCAAATATACTTTAATAACAAACCTTTCTCTTTAAAACATTATTAGAGGTAAGGCAGTGTTTTATAAACATAATGATAATACTGTGAAAGCCGGTAATAGGTGTTCTGCTTAATAAACACAGCTTCGTTGACACACGTTGACGGCTGTTGTCAAACGAAAAAAAGAAAAAAATAGCAACTACTGCATCTTCCTAAAAAGAAAAAGTTTATGAAAAACGTAATAATTTTATAATTATATGGTGAAAAAATAAGAAAAACTTGTGCGGTAAACCTTACTTATCGAGTATACTAACTATTAATGTGAAAAACATTAAAAAAATTGGAAAATTTTAAAGGATTTGTGTAAAAATAAATTTGTAAAAAATGGCGGATCCATTAAGTTTGTTGCGGCAATATAATATAAACAAACGAGAAATTATAGAACGGGATGGACAAATCATATTTGGAGAATTTTCCTGGCCAAAAAATGTTAAAACCAATTACCTAAAATACGGGTAAGTTGAAATTCTACCTTAAGGCAGAAAAATGATTAATGAAATTAATAACTTTAAAGCTCCGGCAAAAAGGGTACGCCTCGAGAATATTATACCTTGGAGTGTTTGTTATATCTGCTGAAAAATGTTATGCTACAGCATGCAGTGTATGTTAGGCAGTGTGCTGCCGAGGATATACCGGCGGTCAATCGTCCCGATCGTAAAGAACTATTGGCGTATCTTAATGGCGAGACCACCACCGGTGCCAGCATTGACAAAAGTGCTCCTTTGGAAATACCCACACAAGTTAAAAGACCAGCTGATGGCGATACGGCCGGTGGCGAATCGGCTGCTAAAAAGGCCCGTTTTGAGGAAACCCAAGTACAAAAGGTCCGAGAACAGTTGGCGGCCCGTTGGGATGTCAATAAGAAAGAGGCTACTGTCAATATGGACAACATCAAATCTTTGTCCGAAACCATGTCTGTGGAAAAAATTGCTGCCATTAAAGCTAAACGTTTGGCAAATAAGAGAACAACTATTAAACGCACCGACAATGAAGATGCCATGGCCACAGATTTAAGAGCCATTTTGGATTTCGATGTTGACTCCACCAAGGATATAATAAGCCGTGAACGTCAATGGCGTACTAGAACTACTATTTTGCAAAGTACTGGTAAAATATTTGCCAAAAATATATTTGCCATTTTGCAAGGCATAAAGGCGAGAGAAGAGGGCCGCAATAGGCCCATGCAACAAAATCCTATTAAAATGCCCGAGCCGGCTAGAATTAATAAACCTCAGCCTCAGCTAACGCAATACAATCGTTACGATCAGGAAAGATTTAATAGGCAAAAAGAAGGTTCGTTTTAAAGAAATATTAAAAACTAAGAAGTTGCTTTAATAACACTTTTTTATTTTAGAAACTGAGGGCTTTAAAATCGATACTATGGGTACTTATCATGGCATGTCCTTGAAATCAGTGACAGAAGGATCTCAAGCTCAACGCAAGGCTCAAATGGCACCACAAATACCAGGTATAGTTTGTTTTTATACAATAAAAAAAATGGTTTTTAATAAATTCAATTTATTTTAACAGGTCGTCCTAAGGAATTATTACCCGCTGCCCAGGCTCGTCAAGTGGCTCCCACACCTCAGAAACGTACCTCTCGCACACCGATTATTATCATACCCTCTGCCAACACTAGCCTTATAACCATGTATAATGTTAAGGATCTATTGCAGGATTTAAAATATGTCAGTACGGAGGAAAAGAAACGCGCTGGTTGTGCCAGAGACAATGAAGTACTCTTGCAGGTGAGCATGAATTATATACATATTTTAAATTTGAAGGGGTTTAAAGAAAAACTTGTTGAAGAATCTCTGTCTATCAAATATATTCATTATTTTATTGAAACTTTATAAATTACAAATAGTTATGCAAAAAAAACTAAAAGTTTTACTTTTATTATTTTATTATTATTGCAGCGCAAGAAACAAAACATGACAGTCCCTTATCGTGTTATAGATAATCCACAAAAACTAAACGCTCAGGATTGGCAACGTGTGGTGGCGGTATTTGTTATGGGACCTGCTTGGCAGTTTAAAGGATGGCCTTGGGATGGCAATCCAGTTGAAATCTTCTCAAAAAGTAAGCTTCAATGGTACAAATTTTATGACAAAAAAGCTCTACTAACTTTTTTTAACTATTACAGTCTCTGCTTTTCATTTGCGCTTTTCGGAACTAAAACTTGACACTAATGTATCCAAATGGTCGGTGACTCTGTTAAATCTTTCACAAAATAAGCGGCATTTAGATCGTGCAGTATTAATGACATTTTGGGAAACGCTGGACAAGTAAGTTGAAGTTATTTGCAATTATTTAAAACTATTATGTGATTTAAATGTTATCCTCTTTTCTTTAACTAGATATATGGCAAAATATAAACCTGATTTAAGATATTGAACATGGCCTAGCTTTCTTGTTGTTTTTTATAATATAATAAAGAAGTACACCTGGAAAGACCATTTTTATATATATTTATAAATAGTCATATTTGTTCTGTAATTCTTTAGATTAGTTGTTTGATAAAAAAAAAATAATGATAATAATACCGTTTTAGTTTAGTTTTTTTGCAAAAAAGAATATCAACATTTTTTCTTATTCACCATAATAACTTAAAAAAAAAAAAACATAATTTTGTTTTAATGAATTAAACTTCTTTTTTTGTAAAAATAAAATAAGCCGCATAAAAAAAGCAAAATAAAATGTCATTAAACACGCAATTGCGAATTTCATTTATTTATTTATTTTTTTTAATTTTTACACTTTCTCAAGTTTTGAAATTTTCGAATTTTCTTCAGTTTTTTTTTTAATTTTTAAAAATATCCAAAAAAAAATTGTCTATGTATTTCAAAAATAAAATAAAAAACTTAATAAAATTTAAGGAAAATCTTTACTGTGTAATCGTTTATTTAGTTGTTTTACATACAATTTGCAACTTAATTTTTGTTTTTAAAAATAACAATTATATAAAAGAATATTAACATTAACTTATGAAAATGATGAAATGTAATTTTTCATTTAAATTTTTTTTGGAATAAACATTTTGGGCATTTTAAACCGCTCCTATTTGTAGTATGGGTAAAAAGAGTTGAAAAGCTTTTTCGATTTGCTGACGGGCCTGTAACATTTCAGCAAATAATGTGTTAATATGTGACTTAGCCTCCTCTTTTTCCGAGTGCTGTGACAATTGAGAGGCAAAACGATTTGCCAGTGTCTGTAAATGCATAACGAATTGTTTGCATAATTGGACAATGCCATCGACCTCATTGGCGGTGCTGTGATGCTCTTTGACCAGTAAAAGTTCAGCAATTTTGTGCAGTTTTAACATTTCCAAAGCACAAGTTTCAGCCAAAGAGGTAATACCTTTGGCAAACACGGCCTGGGAGTCTAGCTCTTGGGTGTCGTCTGCTGCCAACCAACTACAGCAAGATGACCATAAGCTGGAATATATAAAAAAATTAAGATTTTTCTTTCCTTAAAGGTATAAGTTATAATTACTTGGTGATTTCCTCAAATTGTATTTTTAATTCAATGTCTTCTATGGCTTGTTTAAGATTGTTATTCAACTCTTCTTGGTCATAGTCTTCATTCTCGGCTTCACCTTCTAAATCCTCCAATTCCATAAGTTCCTTAACTTCATTTATAGTTTCCAGTAACTCTTCCAAGGCTTTGCCTGATACTGATTCTTTGAGAGCCTGTATTTTGAGTTGGGATTCTTTGGATAAGATTTCCAAAGCTTCTAGATGCACTAGACCACAGTTATTTTCAAATAATACCTCAAATCTTAATAAAGCTTTAGATTTTTCCAAACTCAGTTCTTTTAAAGACTGTTCCAATTGTTCGTTTTCTTTTTTGGCTTCTTTGAGTACCTTTAAAGGAAATTGTTTAGAATTTTTATTAAATATTTGTTGTTATTAAGTCATACCTCACTTAGATTGGGTTTATCTTGCTCTAAACCCAATTTCTTGATTTTATTCTTCAGCAAAGGATCATTTTCTTGCAGAATATTCATCGTTTTCTTGCCTATACCCTCTAAAGTATCCAAACCGGTGTTCAATACCTTGCTGCCCAATGAGGTAACATTATTAACTAGACCTAAACCAAAAACTGGAGCTGCATTTGTGGGAGTTAGAGATCTTTCCTCTTCTGGTAGGTGTTGCTGCAATTGCTCCTGTGTTTTGGCCTTGGCTTCTTCTATAGCATTGATACGGGCCAATTCGGCAGGATCGGGCACTCCTATAACTTTATCCAAACCATGGGATACTGTAGAGGTCAATTCGTTGGCTGTACTAAGAACCGAAGATACTACTCCACCGAATAAACTGCCCCAACCAGAAGATTGTTGCTGTCTACTCTGTTGCACTTGTTGCTGGGGAGCTGCTGTTGCTGTTACTCTTGTGGAATTGTTATTTTCAGAACTGTTTGTCGTTTCTGCCTTGGTTTTTAATATGGAATTATTATTTTCTGCTTTTGTTGTATTATTCACTGCCGCCGCTGTTACTGCAGCTTTAGTTTGTGTATCTTCTTCAGCTACAGTGTCTTCGGCATCACCCCAATCATCCCAGTCATTGTCATCATCTAAATCCCAACCATTTTGATTATTATCCTCCAATTTAGAAGACATCTTTTTTTGTAATTTGAAATTTTTTAATTACAGGACGAAAAAAATTGATTTCTTTTATTTACGTGTCGTTTTCTTTTTTTCACTTCTTTTTACGTTTTTGTTTTTTGCACATAAAAACAGCTGTCAGTGTGAAACTGTTATTTAACAGTTTTTTATTATTAACAGAGCTATGTTTAGTAATGTTAAATGCTAGAATTCGAGTCGTTGCTTTTACTTCAAATACTTTGTGTTTGTAGCAAACACGAGATACGAAAAATACATTGCTGTTTGACAAACCAGAGTTTCCTAGGTCGTCAAACAAATGTATTTTAAATGGGACATCAAACAAAATCTGTTTGAAGGAAAAATTCTGAAATTTTTTGCGCGCAGTTGCTTGTTTTTGGGTCAATTTTTGCAAATTCTTTATTTGATCTTCTGTCATTTTACATACATTTTAAGTTTGTAACGAACGTAGAACGCGTTTCGTTTGGAAATTGTTTGAATTTTTTTAAAAAAGTTATTGAAAATAACATAATTGATTATTGAAAAAGTATTTAAATGTAAATACTAAAAATATTGATTGATTTGGCCTGTTTGTGAGATCTAGAAGATTAAAAAATGTAAGTAATGATGCTAATTAATTATTTATTTGTCTCTAAAGAACGTCATTCTTTTTAAGAAAGAGGAGGCATCATGATGGTCTTTTGGAAGAATGCCCACAAGAGAGTGGCAATTGTATACCTCCCTAGTCAACTAGGCGGGTGGTGGTCGGTCGGCTAGTGGTGGCATGGTATATTATATCCCTTAGGGAAAGTTCGTTAGTTAGTAGTTAGTTTTTTTGTTCACCCCTATTCAGCATTTCGTTTACATTTCCGCATTCAGTCAAGCAACGATTGGAAATTGGTATTCCAACAAAAAAACGGAATCGTAAGAAAAAGAAGAAGCAATTCTATTTTATTTTAATGCTTTACGATTGTGTGTATTCTGCATTATGATCGTAATTACGTTTTTGTAAGTTGTTATTTTAGTGATGGAGCTTCGAATCGAAATGCAGAATACCAATGTTGCCAAACGGAGAAAATTTCGATTCGAATTGAAATGTAAAATAGGGGTGATTATGAAAGAGGTCATATGTACTTTGCATTTTAACATGCTTTTTAAAATAACTTCAGTTTCGGCAAAAATTTCGGATTTTTAAGAGAAAATATAAGAAAATAATGGAAATTTTAAGTTTCAAGCGTTTTTAGGTTTTCGATCAAATAAATCTACTTTTTAATAAAAATTTGAGTGATCTCAGAATAGGCTCCTTTTTGATCAAAAAGAAAATTTAAAAGAAAATATGAGTGATCTCAAAATAAGTTCTATTATCAATTTAGAAGCGTTTCAACAAAGTTAAAAAGAATAAAAATATCAGGGTATACTGAATACAAGGTGACATCACTAGCCCAGCTGATCATTGTTTACAATTTTTTATACATAGACTTGTATGTAAGCTTAAATCGCACGTTTGTCAAATTCCATATAAAAAAAATTTGACAATCGTGCGGTTGCCCTCAAGTGCTGGTACCTTGTTAAGTATACCGTGAAAAATATGAATGATCTTGTTTTTCAAAGTTATAGGAGACTTTGTGAAGGCAATTATTCTCAAAGATGGCGATCTTCAGTCGAATACAACTCTATTAATTTCGGAGCCCTCCTATTAACGTTGGAATCTTCCTGTTTATATAGATTCTATTAGATCTAATTTGTACACTTCTCTATTCTAAACTCACACTTAAATTCCTTTAAAGAAAGAAAAAACTCACACAATTTGTAGTTTTTTTTTTGGGGTTTTTACGTTTTTTTTCTAGTTTTTATTGATTTTTTTAATAGTTAGCGATTTTTATGTTTTTTTTTTTGTAATTTTCTTTTTCTGTTGTAATATTTCAATTTTAAAACATTTATAATTTTTTTGTTGTATTTTAAGATTACATTGTTATATTTAATTAATGTTTTTCTTTTTTTTATTTAATTTAAAGTTTGTCTTGTGTGGAAAAGGGGGAAAAATAATAAAGTAACTTAATTATTTTAATAAAAAAACGTTTATTGAGTGTGTTGACGAATTCTTCAGCTAATTTCTGTTATTTCTCTGTGTGGAATTTATAATTGTAGTACTTCTTCAAAGACAATTATTGGTGTGTGTTGTAATTATTTATAATTATATAAAAAATAGAAATGAAAAAAATATTAAGTTTTTTGTTTTGTTTTTAAATAAAATATGTTTTTTTTTTAATATTTAATATAATATATATTTTTGTAATATATTTCAAAAGATTTTTGCTTATATTTTGTTTTGTTTTTTGTTGCAATTAATTTAATTTACTGTGATATTTTGTTTATGGTTTTTGATCAACTATTATTTTTGTATTTATATAACTCTTGGGGGGAGCTTTATCTTCTAAGCTTTCAAAATTTCAATCTTTTTTATATCTTTAACTCTCTCTCACGCTCGTACGCTCTCTTAACTCTTAGATAATGTGTGTGTGTGTGTGCTTAATTACCCCACCAGTCGGGGCCAGAAGAAGAGTTGCCACCATAATTACCGCCATCATTGCCGTAATTACTGCTGTAGTAGTTGTTACCACTACCACCACCGCCGCCGCCACCACTACCGTATGAAGAAGTGCCATTGCTGCGGTAGGAACCACCGCCGCCACCACCTGAATTACCGCCACGATTACTGTTGCGGTTGCCACCACCACCACCGCCAGACGACTGACGATAATCACGGGAGCCAAAACCACTACCACCACCGCCATAACGGCCACCGCCCCCATTGCCACGACGCTTGTTGCCGCCATGAGAACGTTCCGAGGCCATCATGTCCTCCAAGAAACTGGGCACTTCCTGTTTAGTTTCGATCAGCAACTCCACGAGATCAGCGCATATATTACGATTCTTCTCGTTGAAGAATGAGGTGGCCACACCCAAGTTACCCATACGTCCGGTACGACCAATACGATGTACATACTCCTCTACATCGGAGGGCAAGTCAAAGTTGATGACGTGCTTAACATGCGGAATGTCTAAGCCACGAGCAGCCACGGCAGTGGCAACCAAA